GCAGACGGGACTTCAACGTCGGTATATCAAGTGGCAGCAACGATATTTGGCGTGACCAATATACGCACATAGAAGCAGTGGGGCGCAGCCTTACGAGATCGCGTTGAGCATATATCCGGCTCGGAGCAAGCTCGCATGAAGCTGCGTACCTGGTTGCAGTTGGCATCTGTCCAAGACTACACAGCGATGTTGATGGCCCTCGCCGACCAAGTGGACGACATGTCGGAAGCGGAGCGGTTAGACATGTACGTCAGCGGCCTTAAATACGAGATACAGTATGAGGTGGGCCGATGCCGCCCGACATCGTTTCTAGAAGCAGCACGGTTGGCAAAATCCACGGATACGCTGATGCAGTACGCGAGGTCGAGTTCCTGGGAGGGAAACCGTTTCCGCCGCCAGACCCAACGGGCCACGATCAACGGAGACCATGCACCAAACCACCCCTACACCGGGTCGTGTTATAAGTGCGGGAAGCCAGGTCACAAATATGCAGACTGCCCCGAGAAAACGCCGGCGAAGAAGAACGACGGGAAAGAGCCGGGAAATGGGAAGAGTTAGTAACAGACGAGCCCCTTACTGACTGTGCTCTGTCGCCCGAACACCACCATCCCCACCGAGTCGTGGTTCCGATTCATGCAATCGATTGCACTCGGCCGAATAACGGGGATAACCATGTGGATCACCCTGTGCTGGTCGTTGTCAACTTGTTAAAAAATAATTTGAAAATGTTCGTCGACGGAGGGGCCAGCCATAGCCTCTTCAACTTGGCGACAGCAAAAAAATGCAAGCTGCAACTTGACAGGTGTCTGCCCAAAATCGACGCTCGCCTCGTGGATGGGACGCCTCTGGCGATTTTGGAAGAAACACGGACGGTGCGGATCGAATGCAGCGACGATTTCGGCTTGAAGTTTCTCGCGACAACGTTGGATGGCTGCGACGTGCTGCTGGGACGTGATTGGCTGCGACGGCACAACCCCGTCATCGACTGGACAACGGGAACGTGCAGCATCAGCAAGCACGAGGGGCTAATTAAATTGCCAGCATGGACACCTGACTAGATCCAAGCCCCGTGCATCAAAGCTATCACTATAGCTCGCCACTTCAACCGAGGTACGCAGCTGTTCGCCGTATGTTTGCGTGAGTTGGCAGCCAACACCGACGGAAAAGACATCGAGAAGTTGTGCGCAGCTGTACCACCTGACTTAGCGAAGCTGATTCGACAGTACCAGGACATCTTCCCCGACGATCTGCCACCTGGGCTACCACCCGAAGGACCCGAGGACCACAAAATCCAGCTGGAGCCTGGCGCGCAGTCGACTGTTCGTACACATTGGCGGTTGACCCAACTGGAACTTGAGGAGCTGCGAAGACAAATTGAGGGCATGTTGGAGAAGGGGTTTATTCGACCCAGTACATCTCCCTTCGCAGCCCCGATCATGTTTACGCCGAAGAAGGATGGCGGGCTTCGCATGTGTATCGACTATCGCGCGCTCAATCGGGTGACCATCAAATCTCGCTATCCAATCATACGCATCGACGACCTCCTCGATCAACTTCGCGGCGCTCGCTACTTCTCGAAAATCGACTTGCGTGGCGGTTACCACCAGATTCGGGTCTTTGCCGACGATTGTCACAAGACCGCGTTTTGCACTCGCTACGAAAGCTACGAGTTCACAGTGATGCTATTCGGCCTCACTAGTACGCCTTCGACATTTAAACTGACCATGAACAGGATCTTCCGAGAATTTCTCAACAAGTGTGTTATCGTCTATTACTGGTTTTTAGCAAGACAAGGGAACAACACCTACGAGACCTCGACGTAGTGTTTAAGCGGCTGCAGGAGAACCGCCTCATCACCAAGGGCTCTAATTGCAAGTTCTTTAAGCAGGAGTTGGAGTTTTTGGGGCATGTCATCTCCCGCGACGGCATTAAAATCGACCCGGCGAAAATCAAGATTATTCAGGAGTTTTCTGGGCTTCGTGAATTACGTCAGCCAGTTTATCCCAAATACCGTATGGCCCCGGATATAGGCGCCGGCCTATTACAGGCGCCGGCGCTTCTATCTGGAGCATGGCGCTTATGGCCGATCCTCGATTATAAGCGCCCCCCCTGGAAAACCATTACATATTATAAGCGCCGTGTGCAATTTTCATTTGAATATCAGTTTAAATCGGTAACGAATTTCAGTTTTGCAGCGAGTCAAATTTCATTTTCGCTTTGTTTGACTCGCGAAGACCTGACTGTCTGCGCGTCCAGTCAGGATGTGCTGGCATGCCTGCAAAGTGACGCGAATTTGCCCGTGTACAGGAAGCAGAATCGCTTGCGCGCGATTCTGCTTTGTGACGCTATAATAGTTCGACTCGTTTGAAATGGCTACAACGAAAGGTACAGTTTGGTACCTTTAAAGATAAAAATTGTATTTGTCATTATATAAGCGCCGGCGCTTATGGCCGTTCCTCAATTACAAGCGCCACCCTTGAAAAAAAAATAACTTATTATAAGCGCATATGCGCTTTTATCCGGGGCCATACGGTATGGCGGGGATATCTGGCCTGCTGACCGACCTGCTGCAGAAAGACATGAATTTTGTGTGGGAGGAGGAAGCTGAGGCGGCTTTTCAGGAGTTGAAGAATTTTCTCGTTTCCCCTCCGTTTTTGCGCATCGCCGACCCATCGAAGTCGTTCGAAGTCGTCACCGATGCCTCATATTTCGCCATCGGAGCTGTAATCCTCCACGATTCCGGGAACGGGATGCAGCCGATCGCCTACGAGTCACGCAAGCTGCAGTCAGCCGAGCGCAACTACCCGATACATGACAAGGAGATGCTTGCCATAATACACGCGTTCAAACTGTGGCGCTGCTACTTGGTGGGCGCCGACGTCACTGTTTGCACGGACCACAAGTCCCTACACTATCTGCGAGCTCAGCCCAACCTCAACCCGCGACAGATTCGGTGGCTGGACTACATGGAGAGCCACTTCACCTACCACATCACGTACAAGAAAGGGGCGAATAACATCGCTGATGCCCTGACCCGACCGACAGTTCAATCCGCTCTAGTGCTCATCACCCACTCGAACCCGCTACTTACGGGACTATTTACCCACGGCTACACCACGGACCCGTTCTTCACGATTGGGAATCACCAGGAGGCCACGACGCAGAATGGGAATTACCATCTAAAGGCCGGAACTGACCGGATTTGGGTTCCCGCTTACCGGCTGCTGCGTGAACTCCTTATCCAGGAGGTCCACAATTCTAACCTCTCCGGACATTTCGGGGTTGATAAAACCCAGAAGTTGTTACACCGTCAATATTATTGGCCCGATTCTGCTAACGACGTGCAGCGATATGTGTCCTCGTGCAGGGTGTGCCAAGCCATGAATCAACACGTCAGCGGCCAGCTATATTGCTGCAACCCCTCGAGCCACCCGAACGACCGTGGCAACAGGTGACGATGGATTTCGTCACGGGGCTGCCTGCTGGGCCGTCCGGCAACGACGCTGTTCTCGTCGTTGTCGATCGCCTCGCGAAAATGGCGCATTTCGCACTGTGTCGTAGAACAATCACCGCCGAAGAAACTGCGCGCCTCTTTCTCAAGCGTCGTACAACTGCACGGAATCCCCGCGGCGATCATCAGCGACAGGGACCCAAAGTTCACGTCGAAATTCTGGAAGGAGACGTGGGCGCAGTACGGCACGAAGTTAGAGTTCTCATCGGCATACCACCCGCAAACGGACGGCCAGACCGAGCGCACCAATCAAACTATGGAGCAGCTGATCAGGACAAATTGCCCCGACCCCGCTCGCTGGGAAAACTCGCTCGCCATGCTGGAGTTCGCGTTCAACAACGCCCCGTCCAGCACGACTAATCACTCCCCATTCTTCTTAAATTATGGGATGGACCCGACGGTTCCTACGACGACTACACTCGACAACCCGGTCCCGCGGTCATTTGTGACGGAACTGCAGGAACTTCATGAGAAGGCTGCAGACGCAATCCGCAAGGCGAATACCACTTCGCGCAAATACACCGACCTCCTACGACGATAACTCGTCTTGACAGCTGGGCAACTAGTGCTCCTTGATATGAAAAACCTGCACCTGGCCGGCCCGTCGAAGTTACGGCCACGCTTTTGTGGGCCTTTCAAAATCATCAAGATGGTGAGACCTGTCACCGCGAATCTGCTGCTACCCGACGATTGGCGTATACATGACGCCTTCCATGTCATCCTCCTTCGCAAGTTCGTGCCTGCCACGACAGACATCGCGTGCCAGAACGCCACCCCAACAGCCCGACCTGTCCCAGAACCGACACTTGACCCGTCCAAGATTTTGGCGCATCGTGTTCGGCTAGACGCTTCTGGACGCCATGTGGATTTTCTAATCCGCTGGACTGACCGCACTAGTGAGGGCGACACCTGGGTGCCATCCGCCTCGCTTGAAGCTTCTCCGCTTCTTGGTGATTACCTCGCCCGCAAGCGAGTTGCGGATATTGACCACCTAAAGGGGGGGGTAGTGTAAGGAAAAACCCTTTTCCTTACAGGGGTTTACTCAACCGCGTACAACCCCAACTTTCGGAAGTGCACGTTCGGCCACCTTGCTTGCTTTGCTGCCAAAGCAACATCGCGTCGCATTCGGCTTTCCTTTACCCAACCTACACCCAACCTCGTGTTCCCGAGGTTCCCGCCTAGCTAGGTTGACCCACTATATTAGCGTGTGCCTTCATTGTATTGTCAGTTAATTGAGTCACATCTTCGTTATTCGTTATTCCGCGCACTCTCTTTTACAACTCATAACATCCACAAATGCAAGTCATCTTCTTATTATTGCAAAATTGTAACTTTTTATTGAATTCCTGGTTTCCACCGCACCCACCTACCACAAGGTTCTGTACGCGAACAGTGCGGATTTTCTATAGGATCACAAGTGACTCCTCATTTGGCGGGAAGTACAACTTTCTCCCCCACCCCCCCGACCATATACACACCCCTTCACGACATGGCCGCCATCCCTTTCACCCCCGCTCTGCACCTTCCGCTGTCCCTGTCCTCCCGTGCTTCGCTTTTTTGGAAATCGTCGCCGACCTCTCTGCAATCACCTGCGGCCGCGCGCACGCCGCTGCGGCAGTCGCGGGCGGCGAACAAGGCGGGTCGACCCCGCGCGGTGATCACAGCGGGCGGAGAGGGTGGGGATGGCGGTACGGCCGGGAGGGAGTGGGCAAATCCAATTGGGCTGCATGCGATGGTGTGGGTGGGCGGGTGGAGCAAGGAAGAGTGCGAACGCGCCATAAGCCGATCCGCTGCTATCGGATACGACCTCATTGAAGGTCAGTGGTGCGGCGCCGCTAGCCTCAGAGCCCGCTGCAGCTGCAACGGCGCATTTCAGCCGCGGCCGCGCGCTCGCACCCGCGTTGCACCTCCTCACGCGTCGTCCGACATGCGCCGCCCTCTGTGTGCTGCTGAGCTTTCGCCAGTGCAGCGCGCATAGCGGCCCGTGCCGTGGATGCTGGTTCCCACGTCTTCCCCACCCTCCCTCTCCCCCCACATGCCCTCTCCCCCGTGCCCTCCCGCTCCCCACGTCTCCCTCACCCTCACTCTCCACTGTCCCCTCACCCTCACCCCTCTCCCTTCCCCTCTCTCCACCTCCCTCTCTCTCCGCCTGCGCTGCTCCACCCCAACGGCCCCCCCCCCTCCCCCCTCCCCCCATCAGTGCCGGTGCTGGACCCCGCCACGGTGGACGTGGCTCACACGCGCGCCGTGCTGCGCCACCACGGGCTCGCCGCCTCCACGTCGCTGGGCCTCTCGCTGGACAGAGACATCTCCAGCGCTGACCCTGATGTTGCTGCCCGGGGGGAGGAGGTCAGTGGGATGAGTGGGGACGGATGGAGAGGAAGTGAGGGTGGGCGGGGGGGAAAGGTGACGTCACCGTCGCCAGTCTTTTCAGCAATATATCAATCCTTCATTCTTTTTCCGTAATCTTTCTCGGGTTTTTCATGTTAATCCCCCCTCTCCTCCTAACCATCCACCATCTCCCCACCCACCCCCCAACCCCCACACCCCAACCCCTGCCCCTTCCCCCCCTCCTCCGTCCTCTCCCCTCAGCTGCTGATGTCAGCACTGGCAGTGGCGGTGGGCATAGGCGCGTCGCACCTGACGGGCGTGACCTTCAGCGCCATCGCCAAGTACCCAACGCCCTTCCCGGGCGGCACAGCCCGCGACAACATGGTCGGCGCACTCAAGCGCGTGGCGGCACGGGCGGCGGATAGCGGCGTGACTTTGGGGCTGGAGGTGGTGAACCGATACGAGAGCAACGTTCTTAACACGGCGGCGCAGGTGAGAGCAACATTTTTAGAATGCAACGCAGCAAGCCACCACAGAACTCCGCCCCAGTGCCGATGCACCTCCCCACCATCTGATCCACTCCATTCCCCCCTTTTATCCTCCCGCTCCCCATCCCCGCATGCACTCCCCGTGCTGCACGGGCATGCAGGCGGTGCAGCTGGTGGAGGATGTGGGGCAGGGCAACGTGGTGGTGCACCTGGACTCGTACCACATGAACATCGAGGAGAGCAGCCTCGCTGACGCCGTCGCGCTGTGTGGCAGCAGGCTGGGCTACGTGCACATCGGCGAGTCACACCGCGGCTACCTGGGTTCAGGTCCGATGCCCGCCTGCTGCTGCGCTGCCATGGCATGCCATGGCACATTATGCTTCAGCAGCTCTCACGTAGCAGTCTTTGTCGACTTCGGTACCAACTAGTTCTCCTTCACCACCCACACCTGCCCCCCAGGTACGGTGGACTTCCCGCAGCTGTTCCGAGCCTTGGCGCGTGCACAGTACAGGGGCCCCATCACCTTTGAGTCCTTCTCGTCCGAGGTGGTCAGCCCCACCCTCTCCAACACCCTCGCTGTCTGGCGCAACCTGTGAGTGGCGCAACCTGTGAGTGGCGCAACCTGTGAGTCTCCGTCTCCTATCACACTACCCATGCCGCACCACCCGTGCCACACCACCCATGCCGCACCACCCATGCAACATGGCCTCCCAGCACTGCCCAGCATCCAAGCTCATCTTCTGCACTCTGCCTACCACTTTTGCCCACCACGTGCCTTGCTAGGCCCACTGTAATCAATACCATCTCTGAAGCCCTGAAATTCTTCTTTCTCCGCCCCTCTCCCATCCCCTCCTCTCTCTCCATGTGCCTCTCCCTGGCGCACGCCTCACTTACACTCTGCTTTCCCCAGCTGGGATGACTCGGACCACCTGGCAGCCCACGCTCATGCCTTCATGACCTCGCAGTGGTCCGCTGCCCTCCGCGCCTCACGCCCCCCCACTGTGTGAGGGCCTGCCTGCCCTTGGCTCCGTGTGAGGGCCTGCCTGCCCTTGGCTCTGTGTGAGGGCCTGCCTGCCCTTGGCTCTGTGTGAGGGCCCTTGGCTCTGTGTGAGGGCCTGCCCTTGGCACCATGTTCTTGCCGTGGAATGGGCATGTGCAAGGACCAGCCGGCACAAAGCTCACCACCACATGAGTCATGTGATCTGTTTTACCACGAGCCGCCAGGATGTCATGCCTCATGACCAGGGCCATGCTAGGATATTGGCCTGTCTGAAAAAAAAAAAACAAGAGGCGACGAAATCGTTTTAGGGTTGCGAAGCTGTTTGCACAAATACATATTTGATTTGATTTTTATCTTATACAAAACATATAGGGGTTATAGACAAAACGGTAAACTAAACTCCCTATAACTTGAAGACTTGTTCAGTAGGGGTTTACAAAATGGTTGCATAGCGATTCGTAACTGAAACCGACTGTGCTACATCACCTGTTTTTTGCAGAGCGTGTATTGTATAAGTAAAATGTTTTTGCGCCTTGTTACGAATAGTAATCATTGAAGCATCACTGTGCACTCCTTACTGCAGCAATCGAAACACGCACTACTGAGAATGAAGACGAAAAGACGGACGTGACGCGAAGGGTCGTACGGTTACGAATGCATCTGGACCGTTGAGCAGACAGCACCAAGCAGCAGCAGTGTTGAGGATTCTGCTCGAACATTTTCGTAACTGTCTGGAGTCGCACGGTTGGATTTCGCTGTAATAAGGGAATGTACCCCTTTGAGTGCATGGCTAGCTAGGTCGTTTCGAATTCCCCTGTACTCATGTATATTCCTTGAACTCGCATGTTTTATTCATCTCAAGCATTTTACATCCACTCTGCTATTGAGGTCAAGGGCCCACCATCTTTACTCAGTCGTGTGCGAACCTTCCTGAGGTGATCCTAGGTACGATCAACTTCTGATCGCAACATGGTATGAGAGTGACTCGGGAATCCTTCGCACTGCCACCCCCGAAAACTTCGACGATTGGAAAGTTGCGTCAGGCACACGCTCGCGGGTAAGAATGGCCGGAGGATCTGGTGGTCAGACGAATCTGACGGCTGAAGCGCAGCCCAACCCAGCTGCGACAAGCGAGGAAACGACAACGATTGGTACCGCCGTCCTCGCACAACTGCTTCAGCGACTCACCAGCTTGGAGAAAGGACTCCAAACATTGCGGAACAGCGACGCGGGAACTTCTTCCCAACCCTCTCATCCGGCCTCGAACGGCCACAATACCGCCCCGCACACCTTCTCCCTCGACACAAATGGCTCAACCCCCAAGACTCCTCACCCCGGCGAAGAAGCAATTGTCTCTGCGTAATAAATGTTTTTGAGCATATAACAAATAAAGACAAGTGTGTGCTTTGACGGCAGAGACTTCTATACTTGGAGCTTCGAGCTGGAGCTGCTGCTGCAAAACGCGCAGATTTTTCACTATTTCGACGGGAGCTACTCAGCACCTGCTGAGGATACCGACGACGCCAGAGCGAGGTACTACAACGAGTCTCTGATGTCGTACGGGGTCCTTCTCCGAAACATGTCGCCGGCGGAGCAATTGAGCATTCGCTCATACAAAACTTCACCTGCTCCAGCCCTCGACACTTGGCGCCACCTGAATGGCGTGTACCAACCGAAGGGCTCGGTTTCGTCGAGCCGCCTACTCCAGCAGCTACTGGAAACAAGAATGGCCCCAAGGGAGAAGGCCAACAGCTACATGAATCGCTGTCGGAGCTTACGCGATGAGATTGCGAAACTGGGAAGCACGATGTCTGAGGAGATCTTCGTGAACATCGTGCTTAAAGGGCTTGGCCCAGAGTGGCGGCCCTGCAAGGCGCTTCTCCGACAGCAGGGGGTCATCTCGGAGGCCGCCCTATGCGCCGCCCTCCTCGTTGAACAACGGGATATGGACCAGCAGCAACCAGCGCCGCGATGAGAACGGGAACGCCTCGCGTTCTACGCCGACAACTCCGAAGAGCGACGGCCGTGGTGCCTTTACTACAAGATTTGCAGAAATTTTGGGCACCTGGCAGATCGATGCAAGACCAGATCTCGCCCTCGCCAGACCAATCCGAGCACCTGGTCCGGCCGACAAGACGCACGAAGCGACATGCGTCTAGCCTACAGGTATCAACCCCCATCCCGCAACCTGAACCCAACAGTTCAGCACCAACAGCAGCAGCCATCACAGGCTACTCCCGTCCCCAATGTCATGGGATGGTAATGACAAGCGGATCGCGTCGTCCCCGTGCACGCTCACCGTCACCTGAGCCAGCACGGCACCCAATCAGAGCGTTCTCGAACAACAATCAGTTCAGCAGACGCCACGACTTCACCAACGACGACGACCAGGAATGGAATCTCCCAGTCCCGCTGCTTGAGAGCCCCCCGCACGTACCTGATACGCGGGCGGCACCGATCGATTGGATCGCGCGCGAACAGTTTCTAAAAGTTGACACACCGCACATCGTTACTCCGCGGCTGGCGCTGCTCGCATGTAACGACAATAGGCCCTACAACACGTGGTACCTGGATAGCTGCTGTGGGCAGCATAAGGTGGGCTCTGAGCGTTACATCTCCAACGCCGTCGCCACCCCTGCCGTCACCTACGTCACCGTGGCGAACAACACGCGCTTGCGCGCAAGCGCGCAAGGCATCGTTGTGCTAAAGGCCCGAGGGAGCAAGACGCACATCACGCTGAACGACGCGCTGATCGTGCATAATCTATGCTTCAATCTCCTCTCCACGGCGCAACTCATGGACTGTGGGGTCGACCTCAGCACCGACCCCGAGACACGTGACATTTTACTCCACTTCACGATGCCGAACAAGACGCGCAAGCAGATCGGTCGAGCGCACTCCGAAAACGGAGTTTACGTCATCAACATCGACATTCCCGACTGAAGCGGCGACTCGCAGGAGCTCATCGATCTGGTCCCCCTGTGCTTCGAGCATATTCACCACCGCGACTGGAAGCACCCAGATGGAAGACTGTGGGTGCCACATCACCCACACCCGCGCGTGCTGGCGTTGCACGACCCCGACCCCGACGGCATCTGCAGAGATTGCCACACGCCCACGGCATCAACGAGCGCGATTGCCGGCCGCGGCCTCGCCGACATCGCCGAAGCAGAGTGGGAAGCACCGCCTAAAGAAGGGCTGTCTCACCTGGAGCTCAAGACCGCCACGTGCGTCGTTTTAGGAACGGAGGAACATCCCCTTCCTGGACCTAAATCACAACACCTTCGGGGCATGCTGCGCGGCGTCGGCGTCAGCACCTTTGATGCGCACGGAGTCCCGCGGCCCTAGACAAAGGAGACATTTCTGGAAATCTTTTCAGAAAGTGTAAGCGAGAATTGAATGAAACTAACAGCATGCAGGAGTACAAGTAGTAACACCTAATTGGGTTGTACCCCATATGGGCTACCCCAATACAGCCTACACAACATGATAGTTTGACACACCTCCATAGGCAAAGTGGGGGAGAACAAGGGGTCACAAGACCAGTCAAGAAAAGGAAAGCAAGCTCAGGGTGGATCACGAAGTCACCACACACTCTGAGCACAAGCAAATGGTCACAAGGCCAGTTCACATGCAGAGTTATATAATGGAGAACAAGCACTACAGTGATCAAAACCTAGCAAGTGAAAGCATGCAGGTATAAGCATATAGATCACAGTACAAGCAAAGTCAAGAAGTGAGCAAGTGAGACCAAGTAGGCACAAGGCCTAGAACAGTACAGAAACGCTGATGGTCACAAGGCTGAAGTGCCTTGGTGAAGATATTAGCAGTGTTGGCCCAAGAGGCCACGTAAGCAAGACGAAGCTGACCACGCTCCTGCAACTCTCAAGCATGGAAGTAACGCAGAGCGATATGCTTCGTCCTGTGCTCCAGTCTGTGCTCCTGACACAAGGCAATCATGGCCTTGTTGTCGACGTACAGAACTGGAGGAGAACGAGGCGGCTCTCCCAAGTCGGTCAGCAGGTAGGTGAGCCAGGGTAACTCTTGTGCAGCCATGGCCCCTGTGTAGATCTCAGCCTCACAACTGGAGCTGAGAACTGAAGACGAACGGGTAGACCGCCAAGAAATAGAGCCGGAGCCAAGGCTGAAGGTGTAACCCTGTGACGACCGCTGCGTAGCCAAGTCATCAACCCAAGAAGCGTCTGCATATCCAGTGAGGACAACTGCTGCCCGTGTGTGAGTCAAGGAAATGGTGCGCAGTGCTCTGTCCCGGGTGATCTGCAAGCCAAGACAGCTGTGCAGCTCACCCAGCTCTGTGCACGTGTGCCAGTCCCTCAGTGTCAGCAGTGGCAAAGACCAAGTCGTCGACGTACACGAGGATGTTTTTTTTTTTTTTTTTTTTTAATTAAATTGATAAGATACACCGAGTGAACAAGTGTAGCAAACCAAAGACAGTCGTAACTGTGCTTGAGGCCATGGCAGAAGCCATCCCAGGTACTTATGCAGGGCCTCGTGCCCTTCTCGGATTGGACCAGATCGCTGCAAAAGCTATTGTCCACGTCCACCTCTTCTCATCCGGGACCCGTATCTTGCTAAGAAACCGTTGCTCCGCCTCCCGCAACTTTAGAACCTTCCTTCCCCGCCCAAGCCGAAGGTGCATCAGGCCCTTCCCGCTTGATTGCCTCGTGTAAATGCTCGCGTGCATGTAAAAAGCTCTCTCAATCCTCCGAAGTACTCTGCGCGCACTGAATTTGCTGCCCCGAAAAACAGCATCGCACCACTCCAGCCACAACTGGTGCAGCCCAATTGCCGTTAGAGTTGCTTCCGGGAAAGTCGATTTTGTGCCCGGACGTTTGAACAGCAGGTCCCCCAGACAAGAAATGTGACGTGCCGGATTCAGCATGCGCAGGGCCCGTTTGATGGCTGAGACCACCACCTGGATACGAGGACACTCATAGAGGCAGTGCTCTAGGGTTTCATCTTCCCCACAGTACGGGCAGGCCGGTT